TCCCCACTGGACTAGCCCATCTGCTGGGGATCGTATGAGCGGCAGGACGGGCTGGCGCCTGCCCCAACGGGACATCCCCGTCCCATCGCGGCGGGACATCTCTATTCTACCATATAGCGGTTGTGCTTATTTATACCCTATCCTCTCATCCAAAACTCTGGTCGAAATGTTAATGGCCTTTTTAGTCCGGAGGAGCTTGCTGCCAACAAAACAAACACGCAAGCAGTGCCATTGCGAAGGCATAAGCGCTGTTTAGGAAGTAAGAGATTCAATTCAAATTACAGGACCTTTTCTCTGCCTAAGCTCATACTGATAAATCCAGACCTAGCTCAGGGATGGCCCCTGGTCTCTCTATTGTCTTATGTACAGAGCGGGTTAGATGGTGATTGGTGACCAATCGGCAATCACCATGCTCGCTCATATATGTATTAGACCGAAGGATATATTTCATGCTTATTGCTTAGAGCCATTCGAGCATCACGTTTTGCTGCTATCACAATGGAGCAAGAGACGGCCGCACCTTATCACAACAGAGATGGACCGACCGGTTACTGATCAGTGCATCTCACATGAAGTGATTGGCATGAACCACAAATACTCATTATATGCATTGATGCTCAGCTGAAAAAAAAAATGCTAGGTACCTATGCTTATTTACTCAAGATGATCCCGCCTCTTCTCGACAGCGGCACTCAGTTTCACAACTTTAGCTGCCTAAGTGATACAAAGGTGGCGATGCTTTGTTATCGGTACAGACCTTCAGCTATAGTGGCGATGTATACTTTGTCACCAACAGCTCCAGGCTCCTATTCATGAGCGTGTGGATAAAAACCCAGCAGAAAAAGTAAACAAACGGCAACCAAGATTGAAAGAAGTGTTACTGTTATGTGTGTTACTGCAGTCACCACGAGTGAGATACTGTTTTGTGCAGAGCTGCAGCTCCCATGGAAAGGGAAGCTGATACCGTTACATGAAGAACTGCAGTCTCCGCTGCCGACAGGCTTTTCGGTGCTAAGATTCTGGTATAGCAGAAGTGTGTCGTGCATGATTTTTTTTTAGGCAAGTGATAGAGCTTCACTCTCAATGATCGAGTGTATGGCTGTTATTGGAATCATAAATATTTTCGCGTCCACCAAGTAGGAAAAAAAAAACGACGTGTAATCACAGCCAAGTCAACAAATTAATTCGGTGTGTCAGCTCAAGCATGCTAGCTGGAGGACTCCACAAAAAGCAGCGGACACTAATGAATGAATTTAACAAAGCATTACACGCTGCACGCTGTCACAAAACGGACCTGTCAGCAGCTGAATGGTTTGATTTACAAAGTGACGCTACTGGCGTAACTAACGACTACTCGATTTATACTTTGTCACCATAGCGTTTCTAACGACTACGAACTCGCTAATTAGACCGATTAACAGGACAGCGACGTCCATTTCACAGTTGAGATGACTCCAAAGGACAGCAAGAGGGCCTACCTATATCGCATTGTGAAACATTGAACGCTCTTCGCTATTGTCTGACTACTGCTGCAGTTCGCATTGTTCCAATACTTTTCCCCCTGTAGATGGTTGAGGATAGCCTCTGACGGCAGGACACACCCGTCTAGGGCGGCATCGTCTGAAGTGTGACCCCAGCGATGATGATACCATCTAGCGGAAAGGGAGGGCAAAAGACGCCGCCCAGAGCCTCCCAAAGCCGCCCAGAACCCCAAAGAGTCACCCACAACTGCTCTACGCCGCCCATATCCACACAAAGCCGCCCAGAGCCGCCCAGAGCCGCCTATACTGCCGCACAGAGCCACCCATAGCCTCCCGGACCCCAGCCAGCCAGGCGTGGCTATAATCAGTGGCTTTAAACGATCCCATCTAAGATAGTACGCCACCCCGGTATGGTTGGCAGGCACAGGAGGGCGGGAGGGCTTGTTTGACGTCGGACTGCCCGCCCTGGACAGGATGTGATAATTTGAGATGACCTACTTCCGCCAGTGCTGTGAGTATGTAGCACAGATTATTATCTTGGAGGGTCTCCCGGCCATGTGCCCTACTCGACACCTATTTCCTTTTCAATCAATAGCAAGACTCCTAGGCAGACCCTGAACATGACAACTGCAATTACGGCACAATAGCGTCCCCAAGCGGCAAGGGCTGATGCCACCCTTGACGCTTTTTGCGAGTGCTTAAAATACATTTGCTAGAGAGCCAAAAGCTGGCATACCTGGCCTAGGATTCAAGCCAGATCTAGTTTATCAGGTGATGGAATAGAAGAACAGCTTATTTCGAAATTATCTATACGATTCTATTCGATTCACATTCTAATTCTAATTTTTCACATTCTATTCTAATTCACATATATTCGTACTTTTTATGATTCGAGAAATTGATCTGTTCATCCATCCATCCATCCGACCTGAAAACTTTGACCTGACCTTTAGGTATCTGAGTTTTAACAGTTCAGCTGACTTTTCCAAACAAAAAGGGTATCACTCGGCGTGGCTGGACAAGACGAACGCGGTGGTGAGGCATTCCTGCTCTGCAATTATTTGGGATGTTAAATCTGCAAAATATTGAACGGCCATTTCGGGGTCGCCAGCCTGACCTCACAGGTCACCAGTTGGACAAAGGCGTCGCTTGCCAGTCGCCAGTTGCCAGTGTAAATTAGTTGGCAGGCGCTTCGCCTGGTATCGGTGCGTATATGTCCGTCTTTTTCTACGAAGAACTACCAAAAAAGGGTTCTTTGGGAACAAGCTCTTTCGCCCTGAAAATACCATTTCAGAGCTACGAGATGATGAAAGAGTGTGGAAACATTGAAGAGTGTGGATTGAGTGGACCACCGACGGTGGAAAGCGGCGGTAAAAACCGTCACGGTCGCGGTTGGACGGGAGTGTCCCAATGCATGGACAGCCCGCCCTGCCGCTCAAACGGTCACCCTGAAGAGGAAGTGGTCCATGGTGTGGACCTGTCCTTACCATCGTCTGGTCGTCTGGCGATATGACTGCCAGCCCGGAATGGGAAGCCTAAAAGGAATGCGGATGGATTTGTCCTGAGGAATTGGCAAAGACGGACGAAAGGGTGTTTGCGGACCCCGGCCTCTGCTTATGTATGAAAAAAGCTGATGGGCGAGGAGAGGGCTACCTATATCACATTTCAAATTTTCATACGTCTCCTGATACTCTGCTTGATGCTAGTTTGCCTTCAAATTTCAACGAGTAGCATTTTACATCGACGGTGACAAGTTAGGGTCCAGTCCACGGGTACGGTGATCGTGGAATTGTGGGATGTTATTCACCACCATACAAGTAAGACATCGTGGGTGGTTTGGCGGATGAAACACAGCATCAATACTCGTAAGCTATAAGATAACACTGACAAAAGCAGTATGCTGATTACTGACCACAAACAGAAAACGCAACATGAGCATTTGTGAGATGACACAGCACCGACCTAAATAGTGCCTGCTGATAGGTGTGGAAATGTAAAATGACTCGGCATTGCAAAAATATCGTCACAGAGTAGTTAACAAGTGTTTTAACATGCAGGTTTCAACATGCAGTGTTTTATATTACATAATGCATTAACGGTGATACCTAAGCTGATGTGAACAAATTATCATCTTACCTTGCAACAGTGACCTCTAACCGTTTATCCACAAGCCCTCCTCCTGCCCTCCGCAGCTCTGTGTTTCTGCCTTGGCTTCGTGATGCTCCCTAACGCCCTCTCAGGCCTGACCAGCAGTAGCCAGTTCCGTGCCCAAATCACCACCTTCTCCGTCAGCTTCACAACACCAAATGACCTCTGCTACCCCCGACACCACGCATATTTCATTAACCCACATTTGGCGCCGGCAGGGCCTCCCAGGGGTACAGAGTCACTCTACTCGGGGCATTGTTTGTCCGGGCAGCTTTGTCAGGTGCTCTGCTGGCGTGACGGCCGGCGGACAACGGCCAATGCGGGGCGGGGCGGGCAATGTCACCGGCCGCCGGCATCGGGCGACGGTGCGCCAGGCCACTTTTTGGGAAAGCCACCGGCCGTGTGGTGGTCTGGTCTTTGTCGAAACAGGCGATGGGGAGAAGCGGAGAGGGGTGGAGTGGATCCAGTGTCTCAGGGCTGTCGTGCCGAGAACAGCGAAAGTGCTGGATACTCGAGTGGAAAGTCGGCGTCACATCAGTCTGAACGGTCGAATACAGCGAATCTATTGTATCACAGGACACAGGTGAAATGAAATCGAGAACGAATGTTACAAACAGCGTTTACAAACGACTAATATGCTGTAATTCAATATCTGACAGGACTTTCTCATTCCAAGCACGTGTGTGACATCAGAGCGTCAAAATATTCAAGAAAACGAAGGTGGATTGGCTTTTTCAGCGCGAACTTTCCCACCATAACATCGTGGGTAGTAACCACGTCATACCCATTTCATTATGTAGTTCAAACACTTGCTTAAAATCGATGAAATCAGAAAGAAAGCATTACGATGCTTAGTTACCTACAACCATTCACGCAACATTGACTGACAAACATAAGCTGAGGCTAAAATGGATGTAATTCCTGCATGGATCAGTCGTTACCGTTGAATCGGTGATTCCAGAGAATCTCTACACAATAAATAGACGAAGCTGCATTTATAATCGGGTAGCGTCACATCATGCGATCAGACTCCAATCAATTTTTTCAGATGCATGCACGTGTTTAACGCACAGTAACCATTGCCAGCATAGTATAAGTTCACTGTTGATTATTCTTAGGCGGATAGTGTCAGTGTCAGTACTGTTTTGTTGAAACTTCTTGCTCGTCTGGTACACAAAAACGGAATGACGAAACAAGGAACTCAGACGGCACCGCCTTATTCTGCTTCATCAACGATACCTATTTTCCCAGAGCATCGGAGCCCTTATAATTGGATCAGAGGCAATGGGGCGAACCATGTCGGCCCTCAAACGATCTCGGAGCTACCTGGTGGGACAAACAAGCCCGGGCTACACCGGGAGTCTCCGATTGCTCAGTCTGACTCCAGCGTTTTCACTGGAAGGACATCTTTAACCGCTTTTGTCCATAACACGTCATTTCGCGACATTTTGGCATGCTGAATATCTTCTGATCCAATGCTAAAGTGGACTCTTCTCTACCATATACTGTGATCATCCCTTGCTGCTGACCACACCAGGCACCATGGCTCTGCCGCCGCCGCCGCCGTCGTCCCAGACGATGAACGTGAACCTGGAGTTCTCTCTGCCGGTGGACCTGGTGTACATCAGGGACGCCGATCAGCTCCACGCGCCCCTGGCGTTCGTCGCGCCCCTCGCGCTGGGCTTCGTGTTCATCGCCAAGGCGTTCGCCGCTGCCGGGCCGCCGCATGCCGAGGTGAGTTTCTTCTCTCAATTGAAAGCTACTCATCTTAAACTTCAGTTTGACTGCAGTAAAAATATACACCCCTCCATCGCTCAAGCAAAATAATTGCGAAAACCAATTGTTACTTGGCTTTCTTTCATCGAATTTCATCGAATTTTAATCATTCATCAAAATCATTACTTTTCTGCCGACAGAATTTGAGATTATTTTATAAAAACACGCCTTTTAAAATGTTGAATTATTTTGCATCAGCAACATTTATATTAGTAAATACGTTTTATTTGCTCTACGAAATTTATTTCGATTTCGATTCTGAGGAAGGTTTGGGTACAAAATAGTATGCATATAACTATACACCTCACTTTTATAACTTTCAAATAACATCGAGGACACGGTCAATAGCACTGCCTAACATTAATGTTTAGATAGCCTGCTACAATAGCAGTCTTTTGTGTAAAAAATGTGTTAGGCTAGCGCTTCCATTACATATTCAAAATCGTGAATGCAAAGTTGATTCGCCGTCTACCATGTCGCCAGCGACGCTCGGACACCGGCCGTCGGAGCCGTCGGGGCGTCGATTCCGACGGCGACGGCGCGGGGCCGGACCTGTCGACGGTGCTGAACCAACTCAACATCCGCGCCCCAGCCTGCCAGGCGCTGGTGGTGTGCGAGACCCACCGACTGATCGCCAGCCTGCCGGAGCCACTGCTGCACCACTACAGACGACTCAGGTGGGCATTGGGCAATCAGGCGGCCAAAAATACTCTGTACTGCCCGCTCAGGCACGCAGTCTATTTCCAAAGCATTTTCAGACTGTCTTCAGTAAATAATCGTAATAAAAAAAAATCGTAAGCGATTGTTAAACTTAATCGTTAACGCAATGATATAAATAATGCATAAGGATTTTGGGGTAATTTTTATTTCAATGCATCGTTCACTTTATATTATAACGTATTGCCTTGTAATAACGTAAGCCGTCGAGGATTAAATACATCAGGGATGTCGCAGGGCTCAAAACTGTTATATAGTCATCATGCTTCTTGCCACAGGCCACGATTTCTGCCATGATCTGTACTGTCTCCAGTGCCCCGTTGACAAAGCCCATCGACTTTCCCCGGCAGCGGTCGCCTGAGAGGGGTACATCACTTCAGCGACTCTGCTACCCTCGGACTGAACAGGGGCGACTGTCGGGCGCGGGACGGTGAGCGCTGTAAAAAGACGCCGCTCGAGCTGCTGCTGAACACAGGACTCTTCCGCCAGCGACGGAACACGCTCTGACGTCATATGTTCGTGACGTCACTACAAAGTAACGATGACGACAGACTCATTTAATGTGCGAACATGTAATGAGGTGGAGTGCAAATACACAGTTGACGTAATTCAGACGTTTACAGAGATGTTCAATGAGCAGAAGCCAATAAGCAGCCAAAACTATGTGATTTTGTTGCCGCCAACCTAAGAATAGTCCAACTTTACACTGACTTTGTACTGGCTTTTCGAACTGGTGACCTGACGTGAAGTGACTGAGACCTGAGTTTTCATGGAACACGCCAAAAGGCTGCCCCAGAGGATATGCCAAATTTGGCGGCGCCGTCTTTTCGCGTCTATTTGCAAAAAGCCTTGGGAGAGCGTTGCATTATGCTAACTATATTTCAGCTTCAGTATGACGCATGCAAAGCGCCAAACGTAACGACAAGATCCATTGTTAAGTGTTAACAGCTGATAATTTAGGCCATCAAAGGCATAAAACCTGAGCAAAATGTAATGCCCAACACTCCCGGACGCACCAATAGCGCGTCAATGACGGTAGTCAGTAGCCACTAGCCTTTGCCAGAGCGGTCATTTCGACACGGCGGGGTCACCAACTCCTTAGCAATGCATACAAAGTCATGCATTGATTACGATTGCCTAACGTGTAAAAATGGGTAGCATTTCCAGTCTTCTCCTTTCACCAGATCAAACCACCTGACTCAAGTATTGGAACTAATAATCTACTGCACGGCAGTGACGGCAGCGATGTAGGAATGGATATTTGAGCCAGGTGCCGAAAAGGGCATGATGTGTTCGTGTCGAATGTCATTCGCAAATTGTAATCCCTCGGCTTAGCGCGACATCGCGGTGGTTACGTCAGAGCTACCCACTCAGTCGCTCTGACGTCATTTCTGACAGGAGATGTCATGGTTAATTCGACAGATACTCATACCTATTTATATAAGTATATGGCCGGATATGCGCCATGTTGTCAGTTGCACGCAGGACCACCGAACGTCAGGTGAGGGCTGCAGTGCCTTATCAAGCCTGGCCGCCGCTGAATAAATCAACTACCTAAACCTACACGAAACGACACCAGTTATCGTATCTGTATTTGTTGTTTCCCCAAGACTGGTAGGTGTTTATGCTTAAGTATTGTATGCATTTGTGTGTCAACGTTTAATTCTTTAAGCTGTTAGTAGAGTTATAGAAAAATGTGATCCACGATTCCATGTGTGTGTGAGTCATTCAGCAAGCAACGCACCTTTTTTACAGCGCAGGCGTTGAATAACAGGAAGACAGCGCACACAGGATAAAATGTTTCGCCATACTTTTCAAACGATCGTTGCAATTACTTTCATTTCCTACTGTGTAGGTCTGCCACCGCCACCGCCAGGTGAGAGCATAAACCTGCAAAAGCAGTTGAATTTTTCAACTATCCAAGATAAATGAAGTCCTTTAATGATATGTAATTTGTATGAAAGTTCAGAGCTTTGAATTCGTTCTTCAATCGCATCCATGCTAGTTACAAACGGAAACAGCGTCATTGCTAGCATTGTTTAGCATCTAGGTATACCTTCGAACACGCGAGAGAATGCTTCATATGCTAACTTGCAAGTCAGTTGTGCATAGCTCGAACAGACTGCAACGATTATCTAATGGACTATTAATTAACATACAATCAACTGTCGCCAGGGTCGACGACGACATGCAACTTTGGCAGCCCGCCACAGATATTCCAGAGTGGTAGTATCATGGAGGCAAACGCGCAAAAATGCTACGAGGCTCGATGCACAAACGGTGTTATGACTATACACAGCATCAGCTCCGGCTGCGGATGTGAGTACATTGCCTACTACGTGCCGAATGGAAAGACTATGCAGATAATGGACGAGTACAAAAACGGCCTTAATTGAAAAACAGAATATGTACTAAGAGTAATGTGTCAGATTTAGCAGCATGATCATCACTGAGATTGGCTTGGTGTGTTCTATCAGAATATTACAGGCTCATCTTACCGCAGGATTATTTTCTTTCATAAAATACAAGAGCTTTAATGCTGCATTACTCAAATAGATGTCAGGTAAAAAGTACACCCTACCGTTTAAGCAATGTGTGGTTTCACCAGCCTCAACAGATGGCTTTGACTGATTTTTTTTTAAAATACGGAGTGATCCAGGAGTGGACACACACAGCAAAAGATAAACTAGTAGCCGTAAGGATGACGAAACATACAAAGTATGCATATTGGCCCAGAACCTGTGGCCCAGAGCATTCCCGACGCGCCCGCTTACCCGATTGATATGTTGAGCCAGCTGCATGTATCTGGGGCAGCAGTGCGCGCTGCACTGGCTATGGTCAGTCCAAATAAGGCCTGTGGGCCTGACAACATTAGTGCACGAATAGTCGTGGAGTGTGCCGACGAATTAGCTGTGCCCCTCACAAAAATATGCACCCTGTCGGTGAAATCTGGTGTCTTCCCGGACAGATGGAAGCATGCAAATATCATACCGCTTTTCAAGAAGGGTGATAAAAAAGATCCATCCAACTACAGATCTGTGTCGCTGCTTCCTCTCTTCGGGAAGGTACTAGAACGCGTCGTATACAATGAGCTGTACCGGCACGTAGCGCCCGTCTTGAGCCCTCAGCAGCACGGCTTTGTGCCAAGGCGCTCGTGTAACACGAATCTCAGCGTGTACCTGAAACATGCCTGGGAGACCATGTCGGACGGATACCAGATGGACGTTATATACACCGACTATTCAGCGGCTTTTCAAAGCGTGAACCACGCCTTACTGATTCAAAAGCTCAAACATTCCTATCATTTGAACGGTAGAGCACTGAACTCGTTCATCTCGTATCTGTCCGACAGACGCCAGAGAGTCATCGTGGACGGAAAAGCTTCCAATTGGAAATCAGTGACTTCCGGAGTCCCCGAAGGTTCACTTTTGGCCCCCCTTCTCTTTTCAATGTTAATCAACGATTTGCCTTGCGAACTGAAATCTGGCTGCCTTATGTATGCGGATGACGTCGAAATTTACCGGAAAATCCTCTCCCCATCTGACGGACTACAACTGCAGCGGGACCTTGACCGTCTGTCGGCGTGGTCCGTCAGGTGGGGACTGACCCTAAATCCAGCAAAATGCAAATCTTTCACGATGACTCTCAGACGTGCCCCCGTCCGGACCAAGTATTGTGTCGCCGACACCGAGCTGGAATCTGTTGCAAAAATTAAAGACTTAGGTGTAACACTGGACACGAAGCTGACATTTGAGCCGCATGTGTCCGACATTGTCAGTAGAGCAGACCGTGCGCTCGGTCTTCTGATCCGTTCGTTCCAGATCGGTGTCGGCGAGCCAAAATTCAACCGCGGAGCGGCGCTCGCTGCCTACTACGCTAACGTGCGTTCCATTTTAGAGTACGGCAGCGTGGTCTGGGCGGGGGCGGCCAAGTCCCACACGGTGCGGGTCGATCGGGTGCAGCACAAGTTCCTCATCTGGCTGATATCTCATAGCACTTCTGGACAGACAGCCTCACTTTCTTATGACAGTCTTCTGTCCCACTTCAAATTGCCAACCCTAGCAAAACGTAGAATTCAGCACATCATTTTTCTTAGAAACATTGTGCGAGGAAAAATCGATGCGCTAGTCTTACTCGACTCATTCCATCTACATGTGCCACCCCGATCGACCCGCACCCTCACACTGTTCAATGTACCACGAGCACGCGTGAGCACGATAGGAACTGGGATGTTCTGCAGGATCCCAAAACACATGAACGCCTTTTTGGCAAGTAATGCGAGCGCAGACATCTTCTCTGACAGCTTTGGAGTTTTTAGGGCTCGTTTGATCCATCATGTTTTATCCACATAGTCATCTCATTGCTCATGTTACACTCGCTGTTCAGCTCATCTGATGGTTTTTATTGTGGTTTTTATTGTAGTTTTTTTTAATATCAAAGTTTTTTCTTTATTTTTACTTTCATATTTACTTATAGGTACACGTATTCTCACTCTTACCTTCATTCTCATATTTATACTTCGAACTGTGGATTTTGTTTTCAGTCTGAATGAATGTTCATACTCGTGCGGTTCCCTCATACCGTTGTGTGTGTTGATGCATTTTATTTTCCTGACTTCACCTGTTAGTGGAGAATTTCTCTGTTGGTGATAATCACAAATAAACAAATAAACAAATATTACAAGCTTCAATGTAGTCTGGCAAATCATTCGATACAGATGCAAAGCATACCAACGACTGAAACTGCACACTACTTCTGCGGTGGACTGTACTTTTACGAATCAATGTCTTGATACAGAGAACAATAAGTGGAGCTTGCAACTATCATATATTCATTGTTAAAACAACAAGTTTGCATTCGTACTCACCATCGTAAACTTTGCTCATGCTCATCAGCTTTTTGGGCAAATCTGCACATAATTTATTTTATTACAAGCATTTTCATATCAATTACTTCTTTCAGTGTTTTAACCCTCGCCGGCACAGGCCATTTTGCGTCCTTCGACGGCACAAGGGGGGGGGGTTGGTACGACCCCCCCTCGCGTTTGGCCCCTGATCGAGCTAGAGCTTTGCGAAAAAAACGAGCGTGTTGCCCGTCACGAGAGGAAGCCGATGATACCCAATTTTAAGGTCCTAGGTCATCGGGTGACCTTCCAGGTCAGGTCAATGACCCGAAAACCGGGAAAATCGGGACCTGTTAGAAAGTCGTAAAGTGTGGCTGTTATGTGGTTTTCTGGGGCGCTGATCACGAATATCGTGTTAGTTTTGATCAGAGATGATGTCTTCAAGCATTTAGACCAGGTCGGGTCAGGTCAGGTCAGGTCAACCGGTAGGGGTTGTGACGGGTATTCGTAATACGTGTCAACCGCCTCTGACAGCTTCGTAACATGTTACGAAGGCACCAAAACTACTCAAATGGTTGCTAAATTCGAATTCAGCTCCAAAAACTAGCCTAGAAACATGTAAAACTCCAAAAAGTGAACCGAGGTCACCCGAGGTCACCAAAGGTCAGTGACCTGACCTGACCTTCAGGTGACCTTGACACCCACCCTAATGTATGGGAGCAACATCAAATCATATGTTTGAACGTTTGAAACCACGAAAAGCTTGCAAACGCGCGGCTAATGCGAGCCGACATACGCCGAATCGCAATTCCGGCCAAACATGGTCTCGGAAAAGAGGTCACAGGTCAAAGGTCATTTGGGTCAGGGTCATGAAATTTTCAGGGTAGGTGTAAAATTGATCAATGCGAGGGTACTGAAAGTTTCGTCGCGATCGGCCGCTTTTTACGCGAGTTATTCGCGAAAAACCTTAGGGGGGGGGGTTGCATCAACCCCCCTGCGCCGGCGAGGGTTAATCGAAAATAATGTATGATGATATGAAAAATGGGGTAAATGGGGTGCATTTCGTGCAACCATAACTGATAGCTGTTACGAAACAAAATGAACATAATTTCACCAAATCTGCACCAAATCTGCACCAAATCTGTACGTAATCTACATCAAGAGTGCACCAGATGGCCGTCGTAAAAACGGCTAATATAACTTCACTGCCTTTGTATAATGGTTGCTATTCTTCGCAGGCTGCAAGCAAGGCAACAAGGTGTACGCTCCTGGCGCTGAGATATTTGCGGGAGGATACAGAAAGAAGTGCCAGTCGGGTGGTAGCTGGCTATACATACCGTTACCGACAATCAGTGCAGGTGAGTATGCTCGATAAGACACGTGCACCTGAAAGAAGGTATATTGTTACCACGGTTGCATAACAAAATGATATCAAATGTTAATTTATCACCATTGGGGGGCGACATTGTAAATGAGGCAAGGTAACCAAAGGTAATGTGGATGTGCAAATGATAACAATGAAAAGGATTATAAATCGATCGATCGGTGTCAAATAATGTTTCAAAAGAAATAACAACATGTAGTGTTTTGGTTTCACCGTACTTCAGTGCAATCGACATAAGATAACACTACCTTAACCTTTTTCTAATACTTTCGGCTAAACTCAGGCCACTTGGAAGCTGGAGCTATAGGGTTTCGGAGTCGAGGTTGCGTTGTTTGAACGCTACGAGGCTCCGACTCCTACTCCGAAACCCTGCTTATGGCATGTTGGTTGTTGATATAATTGAAGTGTGGTAATAATATACCTAATATAGATAGAATAATTGCTTGTATATCCTCCATTGAAATGCTTTGAGTAATCTTTTAGAAAGTCCAATAACATATAAACCAAAAGGACAAATAAATATGATGGCACCATGTTAGCAATGCGTTTCATATGCCAGCTGACAAAACGTTTTCATTTCAGCAACAATGCATCAAGATAAAACTGTATACATCGAACGCCTGCCAGCTGGCCGCAGATGAGGCAGTCTCTCGGCCATGCTGCAGCTAGCCGAGCAGGAAAAAAAGCAGGAAGCATGCTTCCTGCTTTTTTCCTACAGCCTTCCATCCGCAGAAGAATGGAATCTTACCAAAAGTCTTCGCATAGTAACTTAACTGTTTCATCCACCCGATCAATGTTTGAATGGAAAATACATGCAGATGAAAACAAATAAAACAAGATCATATTGGGTGTTTTTGATGTCGAATACTCACACACAAAGCGTTGTGCCGTGCTACCGAGCCTGCCTCATTCACTCATCCGGCTCCTAGCAATACATAAATACAATACATACCTACATTGCTTGATAAACTGAATTTATTTCATATTTTATGAAGCATTAGAGCTTAACAAAATGAAATGATTACTCAAGCTGAAGGCTAAATTAATCTCGGATTAGATCAATTGAGCAAAAGAAAAAAGAAACAGCCCATCTCAAAGACGCTTCTGCTTTCAACAAAGAGGGCAGTGTTAGAAGACTATTTTCTCCTAACGCACGCCTGCTGGGCTATTCAGCCCCATGCGCCCCACTGGGGTTGACGGACTCTGCCCCCTGTCTAGCTAGCTTCCGAACCGATGGTCGTAAAAATGGGGAAAACGGTAATCGAAAACTCTCGACGAGGAGCGTCTTAACCCGCGCACCGACGGGGGGGGGGCGGATATCCGCCCCCCCTGAGGTTTTTCGCGAATAGCGGGAAAACCGCGGCGCGTAGCGCCGCGAAATTTGGTATGACTATAACCTAATCAATTTTACACATGGTGTGCAAGTTTGAACCTCCTACCTTTCAAGGTCAGGTCACCAGGTCACTTTGAATGACCCAACCTCAAGTCACTTTTTTGCAACTTTGTCACCGTGCCAGAGCTACAGTAGATGTCGGCGGCCTTTGAAAGTCGCAGGATATTATAAGGTCATTAGTAGCTACAATTTGTATATCTCGGAATTTTGATATCGGTGACCTAAGGTCAGGTCAATTTCGCGACCTCCCCATTATAAGTCAATGGGGGAAAAATCAACTCCCTGTTTTTACCACTAAAACGGGTCGGAATGGCCCCATATACCATACATGACTTCATATACGATCAACCTTCACTACCTTGAGGTCTGTTTTGCTGTTGGGCAGCTGTGAGGTCATGTGACGTCATCAAAGGTCACCAAAGGTTTTTGGCCAATAACTCCGTACAGGAACAAGATACAGACGCGTGGATGGTCTCATTGTGTTCAGCTCGTCAAGACGCATCGAATGATATACATGATGACCTCGAGGTCACGTGACCTGAGGTCAACCTTTGACCTTGACCTTTCGAGGTCAACATATATATCATTCGATGCGGATCGACGAGAGGATCACGATGATGCCCTTAGTTTGTTCCTATCTCGACTAATTCGAGAGTTATTCGAGAAAAACTCTCTCCATATCTAGCGCCGCCATTTTGACTTTTTCGACCCCTGTGACGTCATCTTTGACCTGACCTGAAAATGACCTTAGTAAAAATTGTAGATCTTGGCCGTGCGTATCCGATGCCGTTTACCGCTTGTCGCTATCTTGCTTCGTTCTCGAGATCTCAGGGGGGGGGCGGTCATCCGCCCCCCCCGTCGGTGCGAAGTTGGCGCAGACCCCCGTCGGTGCGCGGGTTAAGAGCGATTTTTTGCCTAAGATGGTGAGAGGTCAGGTCAAGTTAAACAGGGGACAGAATCTGTCCCATCACTCAGTTAGTAGAGCGTTGGACTACCAGTTGCTCCGGCGCTCGATATTTGAGACTCCTGACGGGGATGATCTGCAGTTGGTGGGAGCAGCCGGCAGCCGCAGCCGGTTGAAGTCAGTTGAGTGGGACAGGCCGTGTCCAGCGTTTAAGGGCACGTAACTCTTTGGCATCCTAATTCTCCCGTTACTGGGAATCGTGCAATCGAGCAGTAGGGGTCGCGGTCCACGCAGCAAGCTCTGCCTAGCGTAGACTCCAGCACTGTCAATCCGTGCATTCAACCATTCGAGCTAAAATTATAAGAATACGAATACAAAGAACAGGTCAAGGGTGAACTATTATAATGTGTAAGACATCTAACTTTGTACCGCTTTGTCCCCTATGTGAAAAATCGGTCACAGTGCTTGGTACTGTCATTGGGTGATGCCACGTCACTTTAAGCAGGCCACGTTTTCTGCCATGTTCTGTACTGTCTCCAGTGCCCCATTGCCAATTTCCCCGGCAGCGGTCGCCTTTGAGGAGTAGGAGACCCGGGAGGTATGGGCCGGTTTTGTGAAAAGGCAATTTTCTTCCAGTTGGCATTGACTAGACCTGGTTTTTCACTCCGTATATACGTGAAATTGCCTTTCGCTTGTGAAGTGTGCCTGATATTAGGCATCCGGAATCAACTATTTTTTCTCCAGATAACTTTAAATAAATCATGCGCTTTTTCGATCAATCAAAATACACCGGGAGGTATGGGCAAAGGCTTGGGAGGTATAGGCCGGTGCCGTGTTTCATATTCTTTTCTCGACATTTAGAACAATACTCGTAGCTGGGCTCTCCCTTGAGCTCTCTTAGAGCCCAGGTACCGCATTAGCGGCCAACAGCTTACTTCATGGAGGTCACTTGGGCACATATGTATTTTGGTAAACTCTTATCATGTTCCATGAAATAAGACATATAATATTTTTTCTATTCGAATGCATTTTTGATTTTGTACTTAAATTTTCGACCTTGTGCGACAAAAATAAAACTTACTGAAGAGGACATTCAATGAAAGCATCATTTCATTGATTTAGGATCATCGGGGGTGGGTGGCCCGAACCTCCCGGTTAGGACGCCAGAATGCGCGTATAGCATCTCAGCTCATAATCTTGCAAGAAAACTTCAAATTGTTTATCCAGTCTTACTTTGCATGCTCTAAACTTTATGTTAGCGATGGCCTGACATAATAAAACGAGCCTGGTTCAAATTGATCACGAATTTTCTGTATGTACCGTTTTTTACTCGAAAAGGGCAAAAACGCATTATCACCACTCATTGCCAAAGAAGACTGAGAAAGATCTTGGAAATCACGTGGGCTGTATGACGGAATGGCTGCTACCACTTTACGCGATCGAATGTGTAAAAATACGCAACACTTTTTCAAAACTGCGATGGCCCATACCTCCCCGGGGGCCCATACCTCCCGGGTCTCCCCTACATCACTTTAGCGGCTCAGCCACCCTCGGTCTGGACAGAAGCGACTGTCGGGCGTGGGACGGTGAACGTTGTCAAAAGACGCCGCTCGAGTTGCTGCTGAACACAGGACTCTTCCGCCAGCGACGGAACACGCTCTGACGTCATATGTTCGTGACGTCACTACAAGATAACGATGACGACAAGCTAGTTGGATATGCTGAAAGAAAATAAACCTGATGAATGATCGACTATTACATGTATACGGGTGTAGGAGTTTGCCAAAAACACTCACGTTGATGTTTTTAATATCAAGCGAGCCTGACTACAGATCCTCATAGCGACACTTGATTTCAGGAAACCATGCGTCGAATAAATCTACGAATTTTTCAGGGACGTCGGCACCGTCTGATGTTAGCTGACATTTCCGACCGATCTGTAGTCACCAGGACTGCAGTGCAAAACCTTTGTGACGCATTACCAGCGAGTTAATGGCGGTGACCTTTGTCAGTTGGCTGCAGATCGATACAGTCAGGTTGCTGGCCGCCTGACAGGGCACCAAAGGTCAGAGATCCCGTCAAACGAACGCAGCCTGAAGGTGAGCGAGGTGGTTAGGTGTTGGACTGACAGTATATTTCGGACAGAGACCGCAAGTCCACAGGAAATGAATTAGGTTAATATCGGGCCAAGAGTAAGAAGATATTTTCCATAAGGGCTTTAGGGTCAGTTACAAGAGGTAGGTGAGCAGCAAAATGCAGAGTCGGACATCAATATAGGCAGGAAATCACTCCAAAAAGTCAAGCTATACCAAATATCAGCATACAGCCGTCGCATCCTTTTCCGTGTTTCTAATATAACTATTTATGAAAAACATAAGGGAACTGCATGGTTCACGAATTATCATCCCTTGCGCGATAAAAATCACGCGGCCTGTGTCGGTAGGGTAGGAATTGATATCAGCATAGTGTGTTCGAAAACTAGCTGTGGCGTAATTTGATACATGTAGGTAGATGAAACATGTAGTGTGTCCGAAATCTAGTTTTTGCCGGCCCCGTAGCTCAGTTGGTAGAGCGTTGGACTCCGCGTGGTGAGAGCACGCGTTCTCGGTTATAACAGTCCGTGTTACGAATTCACATATTTTTGTCAGTGCTTTAAACGTTATTTTAGTTCCAGGCGATAATTTCAGTTCTGTTCCTCTGAAAGTGCCCTAAACATTTTTAGTTTCTTCTGAACAAAATGTGTTATTTCACGTGGCTTTTCTCGCGGAGCATAATTTATACGTTTTGACCTTTTTTAAGGTCAGACGCAAAAATACTTTCATCTGTTTTGGCTGTTTTCAGGATGTTTTTTGTTAGTTATTAATTTGTTTTATTTACGCGTCAGTCTAACTTAAAATACATGTCAAGACGAATGATTGAGCGTCTAATATTGCGTCCGCAATATACATGAAAGTATTTTTTTGATGCGTTAGTACGCCGTGTTAACGTATTCGAATAGTGTGAAGCATAATCGAGCTTGCAACGTGCATTGGTTAACGTAATCGAATCGTTACAATGCTAACATAAACTGAAACATGGTCGAACATGAAAGACGCATTCATAACGTAACGTAAGTGAAGTATCGTCACTGCGGTCCGATTGGATACGTATTTGTAGATTTGTTATGGCAACTCGAACGCCGGTTCCTACCCCGAGACGGAGCCACAGAACCAGACGGCCTCCGAAACGCTACGAAGATGGCATAGTGGATCTGCCTACGATGGAAAACATCCATCAGAGAATAACTGACGATGAAGATCGCGCAAGCGAAACAACTTCAGCGATCACCAGCGTGTCAGCAACCTCTCGTTGCTC